AAACAAATACAAACTTGAAGAAAAGCAAATATGCCTATTATGGATAGCTTTGCTCATACGCTGTAAAACAATAATATTATATATGTATGCATGAGTAGGGGTGCGAGAAAGACCAAGTATAAACCAAGTTTACATGAGCACACATCACATACCTTATTGTTAAAACCCTTCGATAATCAAAGTTGCAATTCTATAAATGGTGTCCTAAACACATTCACACACACAGACAAAAGGAAACTAATTTATATTTCTGAATATGCTTTTGCTGGTATAGAATTTGTTCCTAGCAGAACACAAAGGCAACTAATTTTTGGCGGTAGAGAGAAAGATTATTTTTTCATTCCTATGTTGTTTTCTATATTCTTATACAGTCCAAAAAATTACAGCTCTTAACTGTAATAATTAAAGATACCATCAGAACATAAGGCCACTAGTAGAGCTTGCCTCAAAAACTCGCTTTTGTTAGCTCCAACAACTTGATCAAAATAAATTGCAATAAAGTGAACCTTATTTGTATGAGAAAAATCTTCATCAACCACTTCTCAAATCCAAGCAATGATGTTTCTAAGAAGAAACCGATGTGGCATATCAATCAAGAAAATAAATTCCATCACTCTTAGCCATTTGTGACCTTTGCCCCACAAAATTGTCTTTAGTTTACTGTAGGCCTTTTTCATAGTTGATGGTTTAAACAATTAATGTTTAATAAATTATAATGAAGCTTAGTAGTTGACAATTACAACAGAACCACGCCTGATGTAGTTGTGCTCCTATTCGTAACTGTTATCTGTAGTTGAGGCAGTGAAAGCAGCCTATTATCAACCCTCCCTGATGTAAATAAAATGTTCTTCTCCGCATTATGTGGTGAAAACACTAAGAGGCTCTCCTTACAGAAAAGCTCGAAAAGCGAAACTTTCATAGTAAGTGACATGTCATGTTTTTTTTAACTTGTTCCTTCTGCCAGTCTAGCAGTTACCTCTGATAAAGCACAAAGCTCTCTAGGCATCTGCTCTCACTGTTTTCCCTCTCTCCAACCCCTTTCTTCTCAGATGGCAGTCAGGTTTAATTTGGGAACTAGGCTCTTTTAGCAAATTAGCAATTAGAAAAATGTTGTGGGAATATGTATATGTGTCATTAGTTTTCCTGCAAATTAATAGCAAGAGCAGAGTTCAGGCAGAAATTTTCCACTTGACTGCAGTTCCTCTGTCAAGATTTGGCACTTTGCTTTGGAATGGTCACAGATGCTGAAAGCCATAGCCTTCCTTTAGGAACTGTGTTTTAATGAGTTTACCTCGTAGCCATTATTACAAATATTACGGCCTCTCCCTTACCCTTGAAATAAGATTACTGTTTCTGCAAAATATTCCAGTGACATCTTACGCCATTGCACATTGATGGTGGGGTCACTGGGATGTAGTGTTTAATCATTAGATCACCTCCATAAGCATCTTTTAATTAGAGTCCTTACAATACAATTTTATCTGGTAATTAGCCAAGATTGGCTGCTTCCTCTTTAGCTTATTAGTGGCAGCCTAGCAGTGGGTGTGAATCGCAGTGTCATTTGTCGAGCCTGTTCAAGGCGGTGCCCCCTCCCTTTGTTCTTCTTCACTTTTGTGTTTATTTCTAGTTGTATTACCTACCCTGACTGCCTCAAGAAATTTAACTCAATTCAAATTATTTAACTGGAGAACGTTGACCTTTGGGCCTTCCACCCCCTCCCCCGGCTTCCTAGTAGAAACAGATTAAATGTTTAAGCTTTTAAACAGCAAAAACAGAATTGAACTTGTTTGAAATTGAGTGGTTTGAAAAGTAATAAGGAAACAGTATCCGTGTGCTTTTCAGCAGGAGAGCCAATCTTCTGAGTTTGTGCAGTGCAAGAACACTGGAAATTGATTCAGATTTGCCCATGCTGTTTAAGAGCAGAGATAAAATAGAGGAGATTCAATTTCTCAGGGAGACTTTGCATTGTTGTTATCCCCGTGCTTTTTATCATATGTGATGGATGGATGGATGCCAGAAGGGCGTAACAAAATGCAATCATCCAGTTTCCCCAAATAAAAGAACATAGGGTAGCCTATCTGCTCTTTCCCTTTTGCATGAGTTAGTTACCTGCTTGGGAGAATGCAGTCATAGGTCACTACGAAGTCCCTGACTATCATTTTGTGTTATTCATTGCATTACTGTTTTGAAACAAAATCCTCATTCCACTGAGAACCTTAGAAAAACCGAAGATAAAAAGTTCCAGACCAACATGCCTTTAGTACACTTCAGTACTATCTTGTCATTTCAGCATCTTGCATGTAGAAAAGCATCTTGTAAATCAAAATAATCTTTAAAAAAAAAACTGACAAATTAATCGTACCACTTCTTGATCAAGTTGTGCGAGGATTGGTTTTCTGTTCTTTCTCAATGCCTCCTCTGCTGTTTACGTTCCAGAAATACAGAGACATTCAGATAAATGCTGTTTGCTGCAAACAATAATAATAATCATAGCCTGAAGAGAAAAGAAGCTGGGGAAGAAGGCCACTGCAGTCGGTGTCCTCTGCTCCTATTTCCCCCCTCCCTGCTGCTTTTGCTAATGAAATGCTGTTCATTGGTGTATGCACAAACAAAGGAACAGTTTCTCAGAAGGAAGTATAAATAAGAAAATGAATGAAGAGGGACACTCCTAGGTTCTGCTTGCCAATTCTAAGTATCCCAAGTGTCTGGAGTAAGGACAGATACCGTCTCCCATTAAAGAAAGAGCTTTCCCAGGCGCCTCTTGAATTCTGATAGTAGCTATATTGATCACAGAATCGGATTGTCTGCTGACATCAGCCAAACAATGAACTCTGAACTCACATGGACGAACAGTTCTTTTCTATTGTCTGTCCTCCAGAAGTTTTATTTATTTACTCCCTCCCATCTCTGTCAACCCATCATGATAAGTGTTGAGAGTGTTGAGAACTTGGATCAGTATCTGCACCCAAACTTTGCATTACTTGAGTTAGAATATAGATGCGTGATTCAGTTATTTCAGTTGCATTACTTGAGTTAAAATATAGATTCAGTTAGGCATTTTTCCCCCGTGACGGTTGACTTGTCATGATGATTACCTAAGAGAATCTTTTTCTCTTCTGTGTGAACATTTGTAGGTTTTATATATTGATTTATTTCATTCTGTTTTTCCTCTAACCCAACCCACTTCAAGTATTCAAACTAAAGTGCAAATAAAAAAACTTTATTATTTATAAGATACTTAGGTAACTCTAACAAAAGAATATATGTGAGAGGCTTTATTGATTGTCTACTTTAAATCAACAGAAAGAAAATAAAGAATCTGGTGGTCAAAACCTTTTTTCAACAAGTCAATTTTCATGAAAATGTACTAACACCATGGATGAAACAAAAAGAATATTTACATTTTAAAAGTGTAATTGATAACAATAACAATAATTTCCCAAGATATTAGAAAACGATATTAGAAAAAGAGTTGCTGTCTTTTGTATAGGACATTTTGTATAGTTTCATAAGAAAATTACCTTAAAATAATGGAGCTAATTTTCTTTAAGGAACCCAAAGAAAGGATCGGTGACATCAATATAAATTCTTAAATTCTCAATACAAAAGGCAATTATCTATGATTTTCAGTCCATGAGAAGTCTGGGTGTATAGATATAATAATATTCTTTTAATTTGTAATACTTTAAAGTACTTTAGGCAATCTTTTGTGTTAACTGCCTGAAAGAAAAATCTGCTCTTTTCCAATGTAATGCTATAACTTAATTGCTCAGAAGAAAAACCCACTGATTTCCGTAGGATGGTCTTGTAAGTTAAACATTTGTCTGCAGTCTTCGTGATCTTATCAAGGGTCAGAACTGCTTGGCTGTCAACATATATGCAGGTATCCCCATGTTTTTCTTGGTTGTATCTAAAAGAGGCAACATCTACTACAAAGGACCAAGTGGGGATGTCAAGAAGTGTATGTCTTCTTTAGCTTCAACTTTAAACATTCTAAAAAAAAACCCAGCAAGTTTGGCTGGTGCTATTTGTTATGCCTGGCTGAGAAACACTTTGCCTCCTTAAATTCTTCCTGAGGCCAGAAAATCAATGGTTTCATACTGACCCCAAAATGCCAGTCTTTTTAAAGAATGAATTTCCAATGAAAGATATTTATGATTACAGCATAGCCTCAGATTACCAGAGTTATAGATAATATTACTGGTCAATTGTGTACTCAGCATAAGGTAGATTTTAAAAAAATCTCTTGTAGTGTGGAAAGTAAATATTTGATCAATTTACTTCTAGGGCTTTTTTTCCCCTTAATGAAACCTGCACTCTTTTGGGTTTAGCTCATCTGCAGTATTCTCCACTTGCTACTTCATAACCTCACTTTAAAGCTGTCTTTGTTGCCCACTCATTCATACAGCTTATCAGGGGTCCTCAACACCTGATCCATGGATCGGTACCGGGCCCCAGCATGCCAACAATCAGGCCACGCAAACAAGTGAAGCCCCTTTTGCGGGATGCAGGCAGCACACAAAGGCACACCCCCTCTGTTTCAGGGAAAAACCTTTTTCCACGGAACTGGTCCCTGGTACCCAAAAGGTTAGGGGCCACTGAGCTATATAACTGTAAAAACAAGGCTTTATCAGGTTATCTACCCGTATTATGTTCAAAACCCTCAGTAAACATATAATGCACATCTACATTAGAATGTTTTTACCGCAGGGGATGGAGTAGGTAGGAATCAAAGTTATGAAGGCATTTTTTTTATCAATTTATTGCATGCTTCTTACTGGTTTGATTTATATCCTACAAGTGACTTTTCATAGTTGAGGTTGGTCTTATAATTCTCTCCCCAGTCCTACTCTAACACTGTTTATTTTTTTCCCATTGAGTATGAGTAACAAAATATATTCAATCTGTCTTAATAAAAAAATCATGTCAGTGCATGAAAAGGTATTTGGGGCAATGTATTTGTTAATCCAGGAAATTGGTTTCTTTTTCTGTTTCAATAGTTGAATCTTGTCTCTAATGTCACGCTTTCCAAGACTGCATCAGAGGCTTCTCCACAGAGTTTACCTCATACTCCCACCACCCCGACAGCACCCATCACTCCTGTTACCCAGGGACCTTCTGTCATCACTACTACCAGCATGCACAACGTTGGACCCATCCGAAGGCGGTACTCTGATAAATACAATGTGCCCATCTCCTCAGGTAACTAGAAAGCCAGCTGGAAAAAGGGGTTTAATTCTTCCCATTCAAATACAACTTGATAAAACAAGAGCCATGGCTAACAGGAGCCTTCTTCGCCTTCATTTAGCAGATATTGCGCAGAACCAAGAATTCTACAAGAATGCAGAAGTTAGGCCGCCCTTTACATATGCATCTTTAATTAGGCAGGTAAGCGATACCATCCCTGAAAACCTGCTGAAATCCAGGATTGTACATACTGTATATGTGATGCTATAGGGAAGAAGAGATGATTAGCTAATACAGGCATACTGACACTGTTGCTATATGAGGTTTTTTTTTCTCCCCACAACTGCAATACATATACCATAATTGCTTTTGATTAAGTATTACAATACAATGTGATTATTAGGAAATTCATTTCACACAACACTGAAAATGAGCCTGTTTAAAGATGGCAAGTCAATTATCACAAGCTATAGTAATCTCTGATCCCTAGAATTAATCTGAGCTCAAAATAATTACTAAGCTTTAATCAGCTAGTGAAATGTTTTGCGTTTCTCTTTGATTCTGCTCTCTGAATGACTAATAAATTAATATTTCCGTAAGGAAACAGAAATAAAACTCAAAACAATTAGATAATTCCATTTTCAGTTTTGCCATTTTGCTATTAAGTACAACCACTAATCTTCCATCGTCAGTGCAAGTGTTTATTTTTCTCCGACTTCCATTTTGTTTTATTTATTCAGACAAATGTGCAAGTGTATTTTCTGATCACGTTTGCATTTTAATTGCTTGACAGGCAATTCTTGAATCTCCAGAAAAGCAGCTAACACTAAATGAAATCTACAACTGGTTCACACGTATGTTTGCCTACTTCAGACGCAATGCAGCAACGTGGAAGGTATGCTGTATTCTCTTGTATGATTCTTGCTTTAAATTTAGTGTTCTAGAGTAGAAAATGTCAAAAACATAACTAACTATATATAAAATACTGTGGTTTTCTAAATAAAGGTCAGTTGTTTTGATATACATAGGATGCCTCTTATCTGCCCATTTTATTATTTGGCAGGAAAAAAATATATGCCTTTAAAATGCCCCAATTTGAATACCTATTATTAGTGTTTTTTTCCTGCATGTTCTGATTGAACACCTAGTCCATCTCTGTAGTTGCTCCTAGTAGTGAAATATATCAGCTGCTAAAATACAAAAAGAAAGGATGATTAATCAGTTGGTGGGTTTGTGATTTGCATGAAAAGATGCTATTCATAAAGTCCTTTTGCAAAGCCAATAAAATTATTAAAGCTAGTGATTTAACAAATACCCTGGCGCTTTAAATTTCAGTTGTTTGGCTTCATTTACTTAATTTCTCAGTATGTTTAAATTCTCATAAAATACTCCTTTCTTTTAATCTGGCTGCAATACAGAGCAACACACCTGGCACCTGGATATTTTTGCAGTTTCCTTCCAATATATTCTCTCTTCCTAAATCTCACAATGCTGTTTATCCCCCGCCCCTTCAATTTCAAATGTCCTTGGAGAATTTGATAGAATAGTGTTTAAAGAAATAAGCATCCATTGGTGCATACTTGCTAGTTTTTTATGATTCCAAAATTTTTGCTTCCTTGAAAAAAAACTATTACCAAAAGTCCAAATTATGAACTTGGAAAAGGAAAAAGAAGAAAGAAACTTAAGCGACAAATTAAAATATAAAATTAGATCCTATTCTGAAATTAATAATTTGCCAGAAAAAAGGAGAAGGAAGGAAGGAAGGAAGGAAGGAAGGAAGGAAGGAAGGAAGGAAGGAAGGAAGGAAGGAAGGAAATTAAATTTCTGCAATCGAACAATTACTGTTGGCACTAGATTTATTTGGTGAATATTGCTTCAAGATATTTTTTTTTTCTATTCTGGAAGAAAGCAATCTAAAATAGAAAAAAATGTTATATACTTTAACATATTTATACTTTCAACTATGTTATATAGGAAAGCTTGATTTTGTTTACATCCAGAGGAATTCTCAAATGATTATTATTTTCAAAGTTTTATTACAAATATATGCTTATATGAAGATGACTATCATTTTAGATTAGTGAAATAGCTGAATAAAAATAGAATTCTTCAGTATCCCTGATGATGGGAGTAAAGATCAAAGGAGAATAATAGTCTTTGTGCTTCTTGGCTGCAAAATTTGATCTAATTGGAAATAATTACTACTCAAAGCCAAAACATATTATAAATCTTTGGCAGAGACAGTTATTTCTGAAGTTAGCTGTCCAAGGACTAGAGTCTTTAGATTTTGGCATAGTATTATAAGGATCCATGGAAACAGTGTTATCCAGAAACACTTTTGTCCTTTCATAGCTGAGGATAGCCTAAAGATTTGGCATGCAATTACTGTGAATGTAATTCAGGTCTTCTGGAACACAGCTCAGATCATACAAAGTTTGCTTAGACCAAATTGAAATTTAGAGCAAATAAATATAAGCTCTCACTGATTTCATCTTGGAGAACTGACAGGCAAGTTATTAGGCAATTGAATATAGTTTTATTGGAAGATGAATTGCATTGATGTTGTATTGTTTTCTTTTTCTCATACATAATATAGGTTATTTTCTCTTGCCAATTATGATGTCTTCCCTCCTCCATGTACACACACATACACAGCCTTGCAATCCTGCCTTCCTGGCTATATTCCTTCTATACATTGAGAGCTATTCAAAAAAGAAAGAAATCTTCTTTTTCATTATCAACAAAAGCATTATGAGAAGGGATTGTGAAAGTCTGCATGGTTTTGTTCCTACAGACAGTTATGGAATTACAATATAAATGTAATCCCTTACTTGCTTATGAATCTGAAAATGCAGTTGATCCAATTCTATGTCCTATTCTTCCCCATCTTGCATGTGCTTCTTTGGGCACAGTACTCCTGCTGTTCGCACGCACACACAAACATGCAAGCTATCCTGTTAGCAGGTTTCTCCTGACTGAAGAACAGTAGCCTGGGAGGAAAGCTGTTGTCCATTCTTAAACATATTTTCAAAAGTGAAATAATCAAAACTGTCAGAATCCTTAGTTAGGTGGAAATGGAGGTGTAGGAATCAGAGACCAGGTTTTTTCTCATTGAAGACTTGAATTTTCATGTGTCATGAGCAGAAGTTGCTAACGAGCTTCATGGTTCCTCACCAATTTCTACCTACATAATGATAGGACTCTCTGGTGATTTATTAATGTTCTGGCAAAAATAGATGTAAACCTGTATTTGTTTGAGAACATGGATTGTCTGTTTAGCCTCTTTTGAGGAAGCAGATGTGTTACAAGAGTAAGAAAATTAGTTATGCTGTGGAAGTGCAATATGAAATGATTTGGAATCCCCACCCCTTGTGGCTCAGACTTCCTTCTACTGTTTTAATTAATATGATAAATGTGTTCTGCCTAACCTTGGTTTGCACAGTGAATGTAGACAGTCATGATTAGAAAGCCTTTCACTATGTAGATGTGAATTCGTGAATATAAGGGACTTAGCCTTTTAGGTTATTTAAACATCTGTCCATATATTTCCCTGGCATTATGCCTGTAAAATAGCCTCCCCATTGACTATTGGCAGATGTGTGTTAACAACCTATATATTCTTTGCTTGCTTTTTTTCTAATGAGTCTCAATTGTGAATGATTGTGCACCTTTAGATAGAGTTTGTTAGAAAGCTGGCCATAATCAGTTTAAACATATCCAGGGCTGTTTAAATTTCCAGGATAAAGCTATCATGAAAATTGATAAATCAAATGCTAGAGATTAAAAGAATAACACAGAAATGTAATATGGTAGAAATAAGTTTCATTATTTGTACTATAATGGATATAGTTCTCCATATGAATTCAATCTAAGACTAAATTGTGGATCATCCAGAGTTACTGGGACTTGGGTGGTATGCAAATTGAATAAATAATTTAAAAAGTCGATTAAGATTTGATTAAACTGACAACTGATGAAGTTGTCAGAAACATGACAAGATTCATAATTCTGATAACAATGCTTGAACCACAAATGATGAATATTATTGGATATTAAAATCATCCCCTTCATGGTTCTAATACAGTAATGAGGAACAGAAATTGGAAGATGTGGTAAAGGCTTTGGTTGGATTGTCATCATATTAATATATAGAATTACTTCAGATTTCTTAACTTTCCAGGCCATGAAAATATAAGGGTGTCAGCAGTTACACAGAATACAGAAGTTTTTCTTCTTTCAGAGGAGGAGATATATGTGTGTTTGTGTGTGTGTGTATTTGAACCCTATTGTTTTTAACTGAATAAAAGTCCCTGGTAATATACAAGGATAAAATTACTGTAATGTTGTATTATTGCCAAATTTAAACTATTCTTACAATTGTTGCTCCAAACAAAGCACTCAAAGGATGGTTTTCATGCTCTTTCTTTTGCAAATCTGACAAGTTATAACTATATTGTCCGGTGTGGAGGGCGGGATGAGGGAAAGGGGGACTTGCCGGCTGACAATGCTAAGACTCTTTTTCTCATGGAAAGTTTTTTTTTTCCCAATGTTTTCTCTCTTATACTTGCTGCAGAATGCAGTGCGTCATAATCTTAGCCTTCACAAGTGTTTTGTGCGAGTAGAAAATGTTAAAGGGGCAGTATGGACAGTGGATGAAGTAGAGTTCCAAAAACGAAGGCCACAAAAGATCAGTGGGTACGTCCACCATGTTTGAACTTCTTAGCCTAGCTTGGATCATGCTTACAGTTTTAACATAGAAGCTTTGGCTGCTAGATGGTGTTCTAGATCAATCCAGATGGTTTCGCCTTGGCACAGTCAAGGTGAAGTAATAAGAGAACATTTCATCACTACCATTTGTATGCCCAGCAGTCCCCTTTGTCCTTGCTTGCTTGGTGTTTGTTCTGCATCACATGCTAGTAGCTTGTAGGTGGCAATGCATATTAACCCTCACAATCCATTGGCTTAGGCTTATGGCATTTTATTTTCTTTTTGTTTTGTTCTGTTCTGTTTTTTCCTTTTCCCTGTATTTGATGTCTGTTCTGTTTCCCCGATCCCGTGCCCCTCTGTTTCCAAATCATCTCGTTTGCCGCTGGTCTTATCCCAGGGTGCGATTCGCACCAACCTCTCCCTGCATAAGTGCTTTATCAGAGTAGAGGATGAGTTTGGGTCCTTTTGGACTGTTGATGATGAAGAGTTTAAACGTGGGCGTCATATTCAACGAGGCCGTCCTCGAAAATTCTGCCCTGATGAAAACTTTGGCGAGCTTGTTACACAGTAAGAGCTTTTACTTGCTTTGTGTCTGTATGTGTGTGTGTGTGTGCTAATTTTTTTCCCCAGTTTTTTATTCTTCTGTTGCTTTTGCTTTGCATGGTGTATTCATCTCATGTAGACTTGCACTTTACAAAATAGTGGCATTGCCTTTGCTGCAATAACAGTAACAACAATAATAATAATAATAATAATAATAATTTAAATGTCATGCTTGTACATGCATTGCACTGCTTCTCGAAAATGCCTAAGTTAACATTTTATAAAATGTTTCTAAGTCATATTTGCTTCAGTGCAGGGATGCTTATATATTCTTGGTTAGCTAATGTTATAATAAACTATATGATGTTTGACTGGTTTTATATATAAATGTTTTCAATGTCAATCTTGCTCTCCTATATTCTTTCAATGCTATATATACATTGTATGTGTAGTGCTGTATATCTAACTACAGGTAACTTTCAAATATTTGAAAACTCTGTTCAAAGATTTTACTTTTTTCATGTTTTTCTGTTGACTGATTCAGAAGCACAATCTGAGTGCCAGTAAGGGATAGAATGGCCCTTCTTTCAAATTTCATATGCAGGTTCTTTCTAATATTTTCTAAACCTATAACAAATTGTCAGTGACTACTGAGTATTGCTTTTTTTTAAACTGGAGTAAAACTCGCTCTGGGAAGAAAAGAGAGGATTTCCAGTAATAGGTTTTTGAGGTTTATATTCTTAACTATTTTTTATGCTTTATGTGAAAAAAAAAACTGGTTTATAGTCATGAACAAAAGACACATTAGAGCCATGAAACTCACTTTTAAAAAGACATGCATAGGATTATGCATGTGTTAATTGCTTTTAAATCCTTTTGAAATTGATATTAGTTTTTAAATTAAAAGTTCGTGTCCATTTATTTGAATGAGTAAAACTGCCAGCATGTTAGAGCCCAACCCTTTCCCCTTTTTACAACAGTCAATATTTAGGTCCTCATTTAAAATACACAGATAGTTGTTATTATTGCATTAAACATTAGATCATCTTCTCAGTTCCTCAATGGTCAGCCCTGTAGTTATATACTATAAATAAACGAGAAAAGCAGAATTCTCAAATAGCAAAATGCTTCTGGATTCTTAACTTCTAGAAAAGGAACAGCAGGCCCTAATCACTCATGTGGACATAGACAGTCAAGATGGACATTATGATTTCATGGGACAATAATCCTAATTTTACATCCTAGGACCCCCCCAGAACATTTACAAGAGTAAATGAATTCCCCAATCAGTTTCCTGCAAGTCTGCCATTGTGAAAGTACCCCACCCATTCTCTGAATGGCTTGGACAAATGGCTGTCCAGTTTCTTCTGGAAGTTTTTAAGAAGAAACTGGACAGCCATTTGTCCGAAATGGTATAGGGTTGCCTGCCTGAGCAGGGAGTTGGACTTGATGACCTCCAAGGTCCCTTCCAACTATTATTATTATTATTATTATTATTATTATTATTATTACTATTACTATTTTTGGCTCACTGCTTTCTGATCGTTCTCATCTGAGGATGGATAATCCTGTTGGATTTCCTGCATTTTGCACAATGGGATCATTCAGTCACTCACAGAACCCATAAAGCCACACTTCTTCCTCAGGGTATTGACTGTTGTGTGTCCAGGCTCAATCACTGCTCAGGGGGAGCTTCCTTTTAGAACAAGTAAGCTTGTCTGGATCATAGCTTCCTTCCCATGAGCAATGAGTTGGGGCTGTTCAGATGCAGAAGGCTATTTTTCTTAGGTATTGTAAATGACTTTGTATTGTCCTTTCGTTATAAGATATGTAGGAAAATAATATGCCAGAAAGAATCCTGCCAATATTTAAGGGACTTGTCTTTGCTTGCTTTTCCTGTCTTCCCAAATGCAAGAAATCTAAAGGACACACATTATCTGGAGCAATACACACAGCTCTCTCTCCCTCACAGTAGAAAAAAAGTATTCTTGATTCTATGAAAAATACTCCTGTGAACACCTGCTGCACAGAGAGTTGTGAAGATACGTAGGCCCTCTACAGCAGAAAATAGTTCAGAAGACAACCCAAGGGCACTTAAAACATTTCATTATAAGTCCGATTGCCTTTTACTGGTGAAGTTCACCAAAAAAGCATTCTATTTTTCAGTTAAGTAATTTTATAAAAAAAAATGGGGAGGAAATAATAGTATATTGATGATATTACTGTATTTTGTGATGAAGGAAAGAAACTGATTTCCTAAAGTATAGCAGTTTGACTGCATTTAATTTGTATGCTTTTTCTTTTCAAATATATTTTCCTTGCACAGAAACCCTTCACTTATTAAAAACATGCAGACCAGCCACACCTACTGCTCACCTCTCAGTGCTGCTTTACAGGTAAGATTAATGAGCGTGGCAAATACACCACATAGGCATGTGTGCCTTCTGTACTCATTTCAAAATATATTAGCCTTGCTCTAATTAGATATTAAATTTTAATTCCGTTAAACTTTTTTCTTAAGTGCATAAAGCATCATAGTCCCTGGAGGCAAACACATACCAGGCTGCTTCAGCATTAGCTAGATGCTTAGCATTTTGAATATTGTGGCAAAAAAATTAAAAGTTCACTTATTAATATTTATCAGCAGTATCATAATTTCCATCCTCTTATTTCAGAATTTCACTTGAGGCAAAAATACCACAAGTGTAATTACTCTAGCACAGCTATTAATGTGCTGAATGATAGGATAGGGTGTCACATGACCTTCTATTGTTCATGGCTTTAAAGGGAAAGTAGATACCTCATCCACACACACACATGAACATATTCCTTTTTCTTCTTCAAAATATCTTCTAGGTGTATGTTTCTAAATTTTTAAATAGCCAAACTTGCTGTTATGCATGAGGAATGAAGAAAAGAGATGTCAATTTTGTGATGCTGATCTGAAGAATATTTTAAAGCCAATATTTAAGTAATCTATGTTAAGGTCAGGATTTATATATTTATAAACAAGCATTACAACTTTGTACAAACAGGTAAAAATGGATCAGTTGTGTAAGTTATTTTGCCAGGTATCAATGCTAAGAGAGATGTTTCTCAGCTAACTTTAGACTTTCATGTGTTTTTATTTTTGTATTCCTTCCTTTATTCGTGTATTTTACCACTTGGTTGTTTTATTGTTATTTCTATACCATTTTTATTTCTTAATTATTTCTTAATTAAGCTTATAATCTACTCAGCAAATTCTTGTTATTAAAAAAAAAATAATAAAGACATTGGCTCTCTTGATAAAAAATCCCCACTATTTATGAGACAGACATGGAAAGACTTAAGTAGCGTGCCTCTAGAAAAATGCTTAGATAAATTAAGATTCTTAATCTTTATTTGAACAATTTTTTTTAAAAAAAAAATAAGGCCAAGGTGGTGCTTCTTTTGAAATCGGGTCATGAGAATATATCATATTTGTAAAAATGTAGTAGAATTTCCCTTTCTAAATCAGGAAGTAGATTGATTACAAAATAAGTAACCACCTACATCTTCATTTATTACGTACTTTAATTTATGTAGTAACTTCTGAACAGCAAATGAAAGCATGTGTAAATGAAGCAACTATAAATACCATTCATTAGGATCATATTTTCCCTTGAGTCCTGCAGAGTGCAATTTTTAAAGACAAGCTTCATCTGAGGAATAGCATTAAGATTACAAGCACATTTTGCATTCATGAGGCTGAAAGCAAAAATGAAGAGATCCAGTATTCCTTCAGCTATGTGACTAATTTCAATTAACATGCTTATCATACTGAGCAGTTCATGTTTTTAGTTCTAAAACATGTGTTGTTGTCGTCATCTTTCCCATGCTCTTATATTATGTGATAATATAACATTAATTTCTGTCCTATTATAATGTCATCACTGAAAAAAACATATCCCTGCAATGGGAAGTAGTGGAATTTTCATATCAGACTCAGTACACAAAGGGGGATCAAATAAAAAATGTATATCAATAAAGGAGAATATTTCTATCTCAGGGTTGAAATGAGGGGACCTTAGTTCTCTGTGAACATTGTTGTTTTCTTGCAGATGTTTCATTACCATACTAGGGAACATCATCAGTACTAGTCATGGATAATGAAACATCTGCAAGAAAACAGCCAAGTTCAGAGAGCACCAAAGACTCCTCAAAAATCTATGTTGCACAAAGGGGATCAAATGAAAATCTACAGTCAATTCAATTCACATTATATGCTGCTAGCAATTAGCTTTATTTCGTAGAATTTATAAGGGAAGCAAAATACAGGGAAAAGTGGATTCTCTGTCCAATTGTCACTCCCTTTCTCACTGAAATTGAGAAAAGTCAATCATACGTATAAACTTGACACAATTTGAAATTGGTTTCAGCCTTGAAGGATATGAAGAAACAGTGTATTAGGGAGGGCTGTGAAGCAGTATATAAGTCTAAGTGCTGTTACTATATTAGAATGAGCTAGTTCTCATTCTAAAGAGAGAATGCCAAGTTCTCTCTTTAGTTGCCCTTAATTTGTGGCCCCACTCATTTGACAGAAGCTCTAATTTAGGGTAGCTTTTAAACCATCTTGTACTACCTTTGGTGATTTTACTGTCTGTGGCAAAAGACAACTGATGTTTTGTTTGAAGGTATATAGGCAACAACTCTTTGACTGATACATGATAGGAATTTAGCCTTCATCACCAACTGCCAGCCACGTGGGATTCCAATAATATCAATAACGCCAAGTTTCATTTTAGCATCTCCGTTCAAAGCACTTCTGCAAACACAGCTAATTAAGTAAGCAGGCTGTCTTGTTTCCTTGCTGCACAATTCAGTACACAGTAACTTTACTTGAAGGTCTAACCAACAGTATCATTCAAAGCCGAGGAAAATGTCCTTTCGTGTTTCCCCTTATTTCTTGCCCTACTTGTTAGATAGTGGGTCTCCTGTATTAGTTTCCTAATACACAATTTAGGAAATAGCACAGTTTCTCTGGGAAGCCCCTCCTTTTGCTTTTCCCCAGATTCTTCTCCCAGGAGCAGTTATAGTAGTGGAGGAAGAGAGTAGCAGCTATAGCAATACAGGTAGTCCTCAACTGATGACCATTCCTTTAATGATTATGTAAAGTTACAACAGCACTGGAAAAAATGACTGACTGGTCCTTGAACTTACAACCATTGCAGCATTCCCTTGGTGAGAATTCAGGCACTTGGCAATCAACATGTATCTCCTATGGTTGAGGTCCTCCAGGGTCATGAGATTGCCATTTGCAATCTTTCGCATACGCAAAATCAATTGGGGAAAGCCAGATTCACTTAACAAGTGTGTGATTCACTTAAATCCACAATGATGCGTTTAATGACAATGGTTAAAAAAAAAGGTTGTAGAAGTGGGTGCGACTTGCTTAATGACTGCATCTCTTGGTGATGGATGTTCCTGTCCCAATTGTAGTCGTAAGTTGAGGAGTGCCTGTACAGAAGATCAGAAAATAAAACCACGGGGATTAATAAGAGACTTCTGAACCTCTTTTTCCATCCTTAACTGCTTGTATGTTCAGCTTAGATTGCCGTCCTGATCTACAGTATTCAAATCAGTAAATTCCATACTTTTCCTAGATCAAACTAACATTTCAGAAAGCTCTCTTCTATTTTTTCTATCGAAAGACAGAAAACTCGGTCCAGAATTTTAACTCTGCTAATGAATATGCATCTTAAAGAAAAGCAGAAACCATCAAAATAATGTTTGTGAGAAGGTTCTTTTTACAATTGTATTCTCATCAAATACATGTAGCTTTTTTTTCACTTCACGACATTTCAGAAGCCATTTGGATGTGCATGTGAGAATTATCTGGAAAAGAAATTATTAGGAAAAACTGGGGGGGGGGGAAGAGTGGGATTTGGTCCTAGAGAACAAAAAAATTATCCTTAGAATTTCTAGATTAATAACTATGAGAACATCCAAAGTGTCATAAGGATTTGCCTATTACTATTTCACTGCTTCTCTCCAAAATTTGCCCTTATGCCTACCTGTTTTGGCTTTTACTAAATAAATTACTTTGCTGCAAATGCAAGTTATTTTTGTGGTACAAAGTGCATGACTTGTTATTTCTCTAAACTGATGATGTTACCTAGTTTGAGTAATGAAATGTCTGCAAGAAAACACCAAGTTCAGAGAACATGAAGGATCCCTAATTATTTCTCATACTGCCAGAAGCTTATGTCTTATATCCCTTAATTTCTCAAAATTATTTCTCTATATCTTTCATAAAAATTTAACATAAATTAAAGTTACTTTTAATTGGCCCGGATGGAGACCAAGAAAGGCAAGGAAGCCAGTTAGATGTAGTATAAAAACTAAGGAAAGTTTGGAAGAACTTCTGTGGATGGAGATATCCACGTCTGACAACTTCAAAAATCCCAAGATGCAAGACTAATCTGCAAGTGGAATTTTCTAAAACTTTCTTTTGTGACATATATCTTGATTACAGTTAGCTGATGAAGGGTTTCAGCACTCATTTTCTCTCTAAACTTTAAAGACTAAACACTTACCGTATATGCCGGCGTATTAGGCGACCCGGCATATAAGACGACCCCCGTCTTTATAGCCGGGCCGCATTCCTAGAATGTCATCTTATACGCCGGAAACTACCAGTATTTCCGGCGTATAAGACGACTCGGGGTATAAGACGACCCCCGTCTTTGGCGCCGATTTCAGCGCTCGCAGAAGTCATCTTATACGCCGGCATTTACGGTAAGTAAAAGACTTAAAGATTAAAACCCTCTAACTTTCTGTAGGAAGTTTTTCAAAGCTCTTTATCAGACTTACTTTGGGAAGAAACATAATTTGCACGTTCCTCTCCTTTGTTTCTATTGTGTAGAGTAGAATAGAATAGAATAACGGAGTCGGAAGGGACCTTGGAGATCTTCTAATCCAATCCCCTGCTCAGGCAGGAAACCCTATACCAGATTAGGATTAGCATGATACATAAAGGTAATTCTGGTTTTTACCAAGGCTTAGTGTTTGTGCAACCTTGTGCAATTAATACATTAAGATGTTGAAAGGTGCATTACCATGCATTGCTTTTAAGGATGGCATGCATGTTTACCTGTACTGGACAAGAGTGATTTTCTGGTCAGAATTGTCAGTATCACCAAGAACATAAGAACACATGTAAGCAAAAAAAACCCCAAAAAACAGATATTGCTGGGGAGAAGACAAGAATGTCTCCCTTATTTTAGTTTTGTTGCTTGATCTTTGAGCAATGAATCGGTAAATGCAAATTCCAGAATAAATGGTGATGATTTGTATCACAAGAACACTGTTTGCTGATAAATACGCCAGCATTCCTCAAGGGATGTGGGATTCTGGCTAGAATACAGCTAAGCCAGTATTACATTAAATACATAGCTTTCTACCTTTCCATTAGTTTTGCAAATATCAAATATATTTGCTTTATTGCCCATGTGGATTTTTTCCCCTTTTTGCTGCGGGGGGGGGGGAATGTGTGTCCTCATTGAAAATTACTATTTACATTAAGAGGAAAGGTGGTACTTTCCTCTTGAGGCAAAACCCAGCTTGGTAGAGAAAATTTACATTAAGACAATGTTGCAAGGTATGTGACTGTATACCTTCTTGAAAGTTTAAAACCATTCAAGGCTAAGTTAAGTATTTATTGTATTGTAGTTTATTTCTCTTAAAATTCCATTTGAATTGTTTCATGTACAGTATGTGATTGGTTTTCGTGATAGAGATGAAATTACTTTTAGATAAAAATTGGAGATGAATGAACTTTTAGCTATGCCAGTGGTGAAATTAATAATACAGAGGTTATGATTTTATCCTTTGCATGTAATGAAAAAGAAAATGAAGGTAATGTAACTTGGATGTGATGGGTGGTATATATACAGATATGTGCCTGTTTCGATGCTCTTGTCCTGTTTTTTTCCTGATTTTATAGGCTTCAATAGCTGAAAACAATATATCTCTATACACTACTGCTTCCATGGGAAACCCCACTCTGGGCAGTTTAGCCAATGCAATGCGGGAAGATCTTAATGGTGCAATGGAGCATGCGAACAGCAATGGGAGCGACAGCAGTCCAGGCCGTTCACCTATGCAAGCAATGTAAGTAGTGTGTGTGTGTGTGTGTGTGTTGTTGTTGTTGTTTCACCCAACTCTGCCCTTGCCCCACCCGCAGCTGAATTAGAATTCTGAACTTTAGAAAAGTTCAAACATTTGTTAGATCATGAATTAAAACAAGGATAAACCAACATTAATTTATAAGTTTGTGTACTACCCATGAGTATCAGTAGCATTTAAAAATGTCCAACTATATACATCACATATAAAGTTTGGAGTAACAGCAGCCAGAGCAGTTACTTAGAATATGCATCATTAAAGCTACAAAGAGATCAAGAGGAAATTCCACGTACCGCTGGTGATGTACAGGGAGTGCTCAGCTAGCAATCATACCTTTAACAAGTGTTTGACATTATGACAGAATTGAAACGTGATTTATAACCAGTCTTCACATTTAGGAATGTCATAGCATCCCCATTGTTACATGATCAAAGTTCAGCCACTTGGCAATTGGCTTGTATTTATGACAGTTGCAGTGATTGCCATTTGCAATCTTCCCAGCATGCTTCCAGCAAACAAAGCCAATGGGGCAAGTCAGATTAGTGTAATGACCACAACAAAAAAGGTCATAACATTGTGTGCTACTCATCTAATAAGTGTCTTGCTTAGCAACAGATGTTCCAGTCCCAACTGTGGTTGTAATTCAAGGACTACCTGTGTGTTCCATACTGAACACATCCCAGAGGCCAGTCAACGCACCACGTGGTTTCTTGCAGTGGGATCTCAAAATAAAGCAGTTTGGGAACTTACCATCTCTCCTTGGCCAATTTCTAGGACATAAGTAGGATCTTGGCATGTATTTTTGACAGTGATATTGCCAATTTAATTAGTTTGTTTTTTTCCAAATTAAATTCCATTTAAACAATGACTTCAGTAAGAGGAGGTAGCCATAAGCTCATAAGACTTTGTGGTGAGTTTCCCAAAACATGTGGCTGAGAACAGCAATCCATGGTACTGTTTTTATGAGAGAAGTGCACTTGGTTTTAATTTTTGCTTCCAAAATGCATTCCACATGTGCACAAAAATACGCTACTAGAAAAATGGAGAAATTGGCATACATCAGGTTCTTTCAACTAAAAACTCCTAGTTCTTAGGAGCTTTATATTAGTAGAGTGCAAAGCATTCAACATTTGAATTGCTTTAAATTTAAAATTTAACCACTGTGTTATCCCCAGAACAGGACGATTTGATAATGGAAACATTGCAGATTGTTGAAATAAACCATTTCCAGTGTTTCAAACTTGAAATGTGGCAGTTCAAATTCAGAATGATTTTAATTTGAAACATTTTACACATCCTTTATGCATATTCACATTTTTGGGGTACTCTGATAATTCTTATTTGCACTTGATTTATTAAACGATCAACATAAATTTATTTCTCCAAAAATAACAAAGTTCATTATGTATAAGCTGCTTCCGCAATAGTTTTTATTGCCAATAGTTTTTATTGTTAGGAAATAGTTTTGTCTTGTTTGTTTTATTGAACATACTTTTATTGGTCAATGACTGAAATAAAGTTTCTGTCACTCTCTGCTGTCTCATGCCAGAAAAACAATTTTGGGCAAGACTTTGGAATTATATTTCAGTCAGTTGCCAGCCCTATTTTGTTCCTTTTAACAGGGCTTTGATTAGCTGTAGTGAACGAGCTGTAGCTTAAAAGTTATAAATCAAAAGGTAGGAAAAATTAACCTGAAGCTAGTCTAATTATTAATTGTGGAGATAATTAGCATGTAATTATTTATAACAAGTTTCCTACCTGCAAAATATTTTGGGCAGAGGGTTGAGGAGAAAAAAGATTCTTGTTACTTTGATATTTCAGCATTTTAAATAAGTGTTCGTTTTGCTTTGAGAAAAAAACTTTAAAGAAGGCAATACTCACTTTTGATAATTAATTTTAACATTGTCTTTTACCTTCAAAACATTGGAACAGATTTAGCGTTTATAGAAATGGTTTGTGCAGTATTAATTAGCATTCCCAAAGTAGCCTAACATGACATTATTTTAGCACTGCTTGAATGTTTTCTCTTTAGGCATTTTCAGTCACAAATATTTTTGTTCTTCCCATGCCACGAATACAATACTGATAGAAATGCTAGGTTGTTGGAATTTTTCAAGAGTAAGGCATTTTATTTCCCAGAAATAACTCCATATTTCTTTGTCTGCCTTGTGCTTGGGCACTAATTTACAAGGGCACATGGTAACATTTCTTTCAGCTGTTAATTTCAATCAGAATAGAGCTGGAAGGGGCCTTGGAGGCCTTCTAATCCAACCCCCTGCTCAAGCAGGAGACTGCCCAGTTTCTTCAAGCAGGAGACTGTCCAGTCTCTTCTTAAAAACCTCCAGTGATGAAGCACCCACAACTTCTGAGGGCAAGCTGTTCCACTGGTTGCTTGTCCTCACTGTTAGGAAGTTTCTCCTTAGTTCCATGTTGCTTCTCTCCTTCATTAGTTTCCATCCATTGTTTCTTGTCCTGACTACAGGTGCCTTGGTTAGAAAGTTTGTGTTTCTGGACAGACAATATAATATTCCAGTGTTCAGTGCAGGCTGTTGTTATTTGCTATCTATACTTTCTATCGAGCACCTTTTACAGTGATATTCTTATTTTCCTTAATGGAGTACCCTTCCCATAAATTAAATCGTTTTTAACTGTTGTGGTACAATGAAACCGATCAGAACTTTAACACAAACTCAGATGACTGGTTAACGTAATACTAAACAAGCCTACACTTCAGCAGAAATCTTACTGTCAACCAGCCCTGAATTCAGTCAGTCAGTCAGTCCTAGATTCAATTTTCCCTTTATATATATAAAGCAGCGGTTCTCAACGTTTGTGTGACGGCGACCCCCGTCACACAAACGTTATGCGCATGCGTGGTGCCGCCCCCATGCGCGGCGCGCAGGCGCAGCGCCGCCCCCGGAGGGGAGAAAATGGCGGATCGCCGCCTTTGGCGACCCCCAGAAAATGGTCGATCGACCCCAAATGGGGTCGCGCCCCATAGGTTGAGAACCGCTGATATAAAGGGTCATTGGTGCCCACATTAGCGTATTTTCTATAGTTTGACTAGGGCAGGGCTAGGCAACCTTGGCTCTTTTATGACTCGTGGATTTCAACTCCCAGAATTGCCTACCCCTGGACTAGGGCCTCCACAGGAGTCCATGTAGAGTTCATGAAAGGGTGCCTCCCGGATCCCTAAGGGCATGTGACAGTCCATCATGGATGGACCATTGCTTTTGGAGTTTGATGTGATATGCCAAAACGAGACTGAATCATTGGATTTGACAATTTGAATGAATTGTGTCCAATTGTTTTTCGTGACTTTCTTATGTGTCAGCGATTGTTTGTAACATCTCTTCTGTGGAAGGAGATCATGTGCAGCTGCCAGTGTAATTTTGAGTACATAAGTCTGGAAACAAGAGCCATTTTTTAGCATTAATACAGTCCTTGTGAAACCATGGTTTTGGAGTACTGTTGCTTCAAGGGTGCACGTTAGATGCTAATGGAGCTTTTGGGTGAGGGTATTACCGTTCTCCAAGAGTGCATCAAGAGACTCAGTTGGTGTCAGGCCATAGTGAGCACTCTGTAGATGATCTGAGGCCAGTAGCTCAGTTATCATTTGATTTAGATGGGATGTCCACATCTTTAAGGATTAGTAGCAATCCTCTGTCATGGTTCTGACAGATGAAACTCTTCAAAGAACTTCGAGGCATTGTCTATCTTAAAGAATCTTTATTTGAGTAGCATAGCATGGGCTAACACAGTCAAAGCTAAAAACTGGATTCCCGTCCCTGAGCACGTAGTCTCAAAGCACAATTCCCTCCTCCAATTAACAGTAATAAATCACATTCTCCAATCAGTTTGAAATGCAGGCTCTCCTTCCAATTCTCAAGCCGGCCAATTCTTATCATCTCTTATTTCATTAACCTTGGTTCACACACTAAGTCCAGTATTGTTAAGTCTGTCTAAACCAGGGGTTCTCAACCCTGGCAACTTTAAGACTTACGGACTTCAACTCCCAGAAAGTCCACAAGTCTTAAAGTTACCAAGGTTGAGAACCCCGGTCTAAACTTTCATGCACATTCCTCCCCCCCCCAGCATCATCTAACTCTAAAAGTAAAACACAAGAAGAAAATGGTTGCATCTCTAACTGTTGTCAAAGCAAAAACATCCGATGTTAGCAGCGTTGACATCCTCAGTATGTATTTCTTGAGTGAAGACATTTAACTGGAGCAGGATTGGGAAATGATACTGTCAAATTTAGGCATAATTTGTCAGGCTCTAGAGACAATTATGTAATCAATAGCACTATTCAGGAGCCAGAATGAGCTAGATGAATTTTGCTGTGGAGGTTTAACCTGAAAGTTTTTTGAGCCAGGCAGAGACCCGCAAAGTTTAATGTCTGATTTTTTGAGCAACGGCTGAGGAAGAATTCTTTGTCTTCAAGGTTGTAAGCAGGAAAAACCTTTATAAGAACTCTCCTCAAAGACACCCCCCCCCCGACACTTTTATGCCTTTTTCAAATCTAGAACTATGATGTGCAAAACTGCTAACAGAATCCAAGGAGAATAACTAAGAACAATATTTTTAAAAATATGAAGCCATCGAGAAAGCAATATTTTTATGATGTAAGGATGTCATAGAATTTTATAAAGTGCTGAAAATTGTTTGCCAAATGTACAATAGCCGACCCATCCCTTGGTTTCACATTTTCTAAATGTCATTGCATCTTTCTTTTAGCAAAGAAAAGAGTTCAGTGAAGCAATCCAGAAGGATATAGAGAATTAAACATATGTTACATGTCAGCTAATACGACTACTTTGATTACTAATTTTTTAACAGAAGATTATTCTTGCACGCTACTTGTAAACATAAGGGATTCATGCTTTTTCATGCTTACAAACATAAGGGATTTCATGCTTTTCATGTCACATAAAAAGAGACAGCAAGTAACACTCCTCAGTACACTTAAGTTGTTCTTCCACTGTGCATTTATACTATCTGTACCAACACTGTCACCCTGGAGTTCAATTCAAGTATAATTCAAGAGATTATACTGAGAGAATTATTTGAAAAAGATTCTGCCTTGGTAGGAATCAGTGTGCATCTGGAGTCTTTCAAAACAATCACCTATAAATGGTAGAAACACTGAAATGCACAAATCAAAACAGTAGTGGTAAGACATGACCCAGTTCACTCTTATTTTACAATTACGGTACAGATACTATCACAGGAAGAAGCTGATTTTTGACCACCAGATTTGGCTTTCTCCTGGTCATAAAAATTATTTAGGGAGAAATTGTCTCTTCATTTTCACTCAAAATGTGTAAATGAAACTTCAGTAATTTTTTTCTTTAACTTAATAGGGTTAGCTTTGATTGTCTAAAATACCTAATGGTGCAGGTTAGCGGGTATTTACAAGACAAACTGAATTCGCTCTTTGGGTCATGCTATAATTATTTACAAGGTATTGCAAATAAAATCAAGCCTTCTTTCATAAAGGAGGACACCGGCTTATTGGCAGGGACATTTTTACATATCAAAAGCCCCCAAACAATAAAACAAGGGGAAGGTAATTTGTATTTGTAAAGGGGTTTGTTATGAATATGATTTACGGACAACATTTTTCAAAATGTTATCATGCCCATTTTGTATAATCAACCCTTGATCCCTTGTGGGTTATTCATATGCTATTCTGTAATGAGAAATTTGGCAGATCTCATCTCCTTAGTGCATCCTTAGTGCCCACCATGAGCTGAGGATCATGTTCCGCCTTGTTTACAGCTGACAGCGTTATTATTCTCATTAGGACTCTGCTTTCTTATCATATTGTTGTGTTGAGCAAGCCTTTTCCTCTCCGTTTGTGTTTCCTGGCAGGGCTTTTCTTTCCTTATTGACAGTTTGTAAAAAATATGCATTAATTTGGAGTTTAAAGCATGTATCATGGTGTCTCTTTGCTGTGTTTGCTTGAAGTTGATTAATGATAGACCCTCACTTGGGGTCGTCCTCTGGAGACTTCTCTCACAGGTTATGCATGTTAACTAGAAAAGCAGAATACACACTAACCGATGATTAGCCCAGCCTCCAGAAGCTCAGTAGGCTGATAAACCATGGGTTTGCTTTACAGATGCTTATTTCATTTATTTATCTGAAGATTGTATTAATCAGGCTAATGTGTCACTTGAGAGCATTTTCTCTGAATCCCAAGAAGAAACCTTGAGCTGCAGCCCTTGCTGTTTTTCTCTTTTGAAGCCCAAGTATTCTTACACATGCAAAGTGTTCCATTATTTGCAGCCAGGCTAAGTTTCAGAGTGTGAATTGTACATATGACCAATGAGGTGGGCGGCTGGGAAGAAACTGTATTCTACAACTGAACTGAAGACACTTTTTGGATGAGAAGCAAAACATTTTCAAGAAAAAAAAAAAAAAACAAGAAAGTCCAGCTGCCTTTTGAAAAGCACCTTTGGGGCCAGCATGACCTGGATGGTTGAGAATCTCCATAGACATGTATTCTGTAACAATTACAGTGAGGAGGGATTTCAAGTAATTTAGAAGGTTTACTCTTTTTATTGTTCTATTTGAATCAATACCTTTATTGCTTTGCTGGACAGGCTGTGTTTCCAAGTTCTCAAACATATTTTAAAAGACAGAATCTTAATTCTCTAAGATCATAGGTGTCTCGCCAGGTGGCAGCACCTGGCTGACCAGGCCTGATTGAGAATCTAAGCAAAGTCAGGCCTGGTTAGCAGTTGAAAGAGACACCTTTTCAGAACACCAAGAGTGTATTGGGAATTAAAAAAAAAAAAAATCCTGGAGCTAGTACAGCTCATCTATTCTTGCCAAAAAAACATTAGGTTACATCTATGAAATCAGTAGAAATAATCCTTGACTTTCATAACCCAGAGGTCAAAAGTTTTTTAGTATGCAGCGTTCAATATATTTGAATTGTTTAAACCTGTTTTTTTACCTAAACAGTTTTTTAAAAAAAAACAACAGTTGCTCATCCATCCTTTTTCTGTTTGTATGTTTGTGTGCTTTTTTTTACAGACACCCTGTGCATGTCAAAGAAGAGCCATTAGATCCAGATGAAAATGAAGGCCCACTCTCCTTAGTCACCACAGCCAACCACAGTCCAGAATTTGATCACGACAGAGATTATGAAGATGAACATGTAAATGAAGACATTGAATAAAAATGTCTGTGACTTTTCATTCTGCAAATGAAGATCCTGGGGAGGGACAAAAAAAATAACCGTATCTTTCAGAATTAGCTGTGAAATCTCTCCCCGCCATTGTACAGTCTGGAAGATAACACTTGGTCCATTCTGACAGCTATAAAATATGTTAACACTTAGTGCCATCAAGTATCCCATTTGGGAGTATTTTTGATTTTTCTACTTTTTGTTGAAAAACAAAACAAAGGAATTTGTACTCTGTGCATTGGATGGACTTGTTTGGTACTCGGAATTCCTACTCACAGTCAACATCAGTGTTGTAAATGTGTTCCACTAATTCCCTTATCCACAACTTGGCAGCAGACTTTGGACTGCAGATCTTCCACTATGGGACACTGAAGACATGAAGCTGAGCATGTACACATCAATTGCAGATCAAGCCTTTACCCAGATTTTAAGAATTTCAGTGGACAATATATTTGCACAGTATCGCATGTTGATTATCACTGCCTTTACTTTTTTTTGTTTTTGTTTTTGCTTCCATTTGGGATGGGGAAATCTTTTTGAGTGTGCGTGTGTGTGTATACTAAAGGGTTAAAAGAAAAAAAACCTTTTTTTTAGTGTATAGCTTTAATTTTTGTTTCTCCTAGTTCTCCTATACATTTTTAAGTTCTGACCTCAGGCCTCAATTGGCCAGGGCCTTTTGAGGCTTAATGTTTTCTGTACTTTTGTGATGAATGTTAATAGGTGTGTTTATTATACAAAGCTGAATGTTCTTTGAATTGTTTGTAGTTCTTTTTCTGCCATCCATTCCAAATTTCCTTCAGATGCCATTATGTTTTCTTTAGCTATGGAAAACATTCCATTTTGGACTATATGCCCCCCCCCCTACACACACACATACACCCGGCTCTGGGAAAAGTTCTAAAATGCTGCTGTGACCTGTGCAAAATTATCTTATGACAGAAAGAAAGGCAGTAATTCAAGAGTGAGAATGAAAGGCAAGCCAGCATCAAAGCTGTAGAGTGTGATTCTAAAGTCATTCCACAGACTGTCTATGTTTGTGTGTGCTTGTGTATACACATGCACATAAAACCATTGTTTGTGGGGGTTTTCCCTGTTGGTTTTTCCTTATATGCAGCAATTGTGAATATTTAGAGAAACAGCCCCTTCAAAAGTGCACACACCCTACAGAAGTTGTGAAAAAGAAGTGTAACTGTGTAAGGCTTTTGTGCGTTTAACTTTTTTAAAATAGGTTCCTGGGCTGATCAAATATTTCTGAAGTATGTTAACACATGTACTATTAGATTCTTGTTTGCCCACATGCCTCATTGGACATTATTCATGGTGGTTCTTCCAAGTTAAGTTGTTTGAGATTTAATTGGTGGCATCCATCAGTTTAAGTTGTTGCATTTAATTCGTTGGGAAGGCAATAAGGTCCATTAGTTGTTAAGTGTTAGTAATTTTGCCATTGCAGATAAGATCATTACACAATATCACACCAACCAGTATAAAAAACAAACAGTCTGAAATCTGTGGGTAAACCAGATGCGCTGTTTCACATCAACAGTCTTCAACAGCAAGAGTGGGCAGACAGCTGCGGTTCAAATGTTGGTACCCCTTGACCACCAAACTCCTAGTGACTTCATTCTCTAACCACTTTTCAAGTAATTCACTCATTTATGTCGGACTATAGCTTTTAATTTCAGAAGTCTTTCTGATCTTAATTTATATTCTACTTTGTACCCTTCTCCCCTAAAGTTACCAAAGATATTACACAAAGTAAATTATGTTCTCTGTTATATGCTTTATCTTATGAAAGCCAAATATCCTCTTATTGTTGATCAAAGGAGGCTAAAGAATTACGAAGCAAATGACAAAATAATGGGCTACAGCTAACCTGAGAAGGAAAACTGCTCCTTTATTAAAGTATAATTTAGAAGACCAAGTAGATGGCTGAACCAAAGTTTTTGCTGTTGTCGTTTTGTTTTGTTTTTTCTTTACAGTAACCAAAAGTATTTCTGTAAAGAGAGAGCTTTTTAGGCTGAAGTTAGAGAATGAGACCTTGAAAAGGGCACCATTTGATATTGAGGATATAGGAGGAGAACTTACGCAAAAAAACTAGAATGACTTGAAACTGAGAGAGTTTACATGAAATACGAAAGAGCACTCGTGACTGAAACTGAACCATACCATAATTACTGAAGAAATTGTTGGTATGCTTTTATTTGGGGTTTGACCTATTCACTTTTGCTAAAAGCCAATGCCAAGGCAATTTCTTTTTAACTTTGCTTACCTGTGCCCAAGATTTGAGAATGACTGTGATGATGGTTGTGTTGGTCTCTGCCCATCCCATTTCATTTTGGGTTTTCATCTTTTTTTAATATGGTAACATCCCTATTTCTTTCTAAACTTTGGTATCATTCAGGCCAATGGGGGAGATTTGTCATTAAGTTCAAAATAGCAAATTGTTTTTAGCTTTTTTTTTTTTTTTTTGCCAACAGTGAAATATGTAAAGCTCGCTTTCCCCCCCGAATTCTTTTTTTAAAGGAGGGCAGCCTGTAAGTCATTTGAAATGTTTTGAAACACACCATATTCAGGCAGCTCCATAATGTGCAGGCCATAACCAGAGGGACATAACAAAAAATACCTGTCCCTGTGGTTCAAAACTGAGTGGTTTTGCTGGTTAGCTTGGTATTCAGAAAGGGGATAAAAATCTGGTAGATTAGTTCATTCTCAGCATGTGTAGCTAGACATGAGTAAAGATAACAGCATGAGAAACTGTTAGTACGCATACCTCAGTTCAAACTGTTAGGGAATGAGTAAAAAAAAATTACATTTCACTCAATTGCACTTAGTTGTATGTCTTGCATGCATAGACTAAAGACTGTAGCAAAATTTTAAAAAAAGAAAAGAAATTTTTTTTTAGGAAAAAAAAAAACCTACCATACCTTGCAGGTATCACTGCCCTGCATAAGAACCAAGAGGAGATCTCAGGCTTTACATCAAGGAAACTACACTATTTTTTACAAATTTCTGATTCTGTGTCCCTTTGGATCATAACAATGGTTCCTCAGGGCTCGGGTTTATTATGTTGTACATATATAGCCCAATGTGTCTCTTGTGAACCCGTTTTGTCTTTTGGTGGGTGGGGGTGGGTTGGCAAGGGGAGACAAGAAAAGGGGGGGAAGACGGTCCTCTTTTTTTTTTAATAAAAAAAACATTCCTCCAAAGGAATTAATGCAGATGTTTGTCAAAACACCTTTTGCTTTTTGTGCAACTGCTTTATATTAACCGTACTTTTGACAAATGCTTTGGGGGAAAAAAAACCTACTGTATGTAATGGAATTGCGGAATATGCTGCACATGTATTTCATTTAGTTACCCTTGCTTTAAGACTGTGGGATGCCATTTGCTGACATGTGGGAGAAAAATCCCAATTTCCTTGTTTTTATTTGGTAATTCCCCCCCCCCCTTGTTGGCTTCTGAACTGTAACATAGTAGGCAGTTTTTTTCCCCTCCCTCTGTTACAGATCAAATCATGTTTGTATAAGTTTGTTTCTGAGATTTTGTTTTTTGATATATATATATTTTTTGTTGTTTTTTTGTTTTTGTTCTCATGCTAGTTGTTCTTTAAATCCTTTCTCCACCTTTTGTTATTCCCATCTCTGCCTATCTGGGTGTCCTTAAACAAAGAAGAAAAAGAGAGTTTCAAAAGTTGTTTCTTTCCTGCTGCAGTAAATACTTTGCATGATGATTTTCCCAGGTCACACTTTCGAAGCTTATCAGTGAAGTAGTGATTAATAATGGAAAAGTGTCAAAATATCTGAACTTTTGTATAAAATGAAATACTTTACAAGGTGCCAAGATGTAAAGACAGTTTGTTACATGGGTTTTGTTTCTGTTTTCCTTTTCTCTCAGAAAAGCGAACGTGACAAAAGGAGTACCACATATCAGGTGAAACTGCTGTTAGGAATGAGTCAAAGCCTACCTTATCATCCCTCAGTCCTTTCTGGGCTGCTTCTGCCTTCTTTCTTTGCCATTCTGGCCAGACTGCCTTTACTCGGGGTGGGTCTCCTGCTGCAGCACAGGTGACCGAAAGGTTTTCCTGACCAGGTGGATACCAAATAGGCAGCAGATTTGCAGACTCCTGCTCTGTTTGTAGATCTCCAGATGGCAGGGAACACCGATCCCAGTCTCTAGGGTTAGTCCCGGTAGATCCTCCTAAATAACTTTTTCGCCTACAAGCAGGCATCTGATTTTCTACAAAGACCATCCTTTCCTTGGATTAGAACAGCACAGTTCAAATGCTTCAAACTTACTGGATTTCTGTTTTCTACCAAAAGTAGAAGAAAAGAGGAGAAAGAGAATTAAGGCTTATGCTTAAGGATTTTTTTTTGGGGGGGGGGTAGGTGGGGGGTGAAAGGGGATGGAAATCTCCTTTAGGAGATTCAACCATAATATCCATGATCAGGGGTATGGGAAAAATGAATAAATCGTATTATTCTTCAAATAATACAGATCATTAGATATTTTTTATATATAAATATATATATATCTCAAAGTTTTTAAACAAATAATTTTGAAGTATCGTAGTTTTCAGAATGCTGACAAGCTACATTCCTTATAACAGGGAGAATGTGTTTTAAACTCTTGGAGAGCTTTGGTACATTTTTGGTTAACAGACTCAGATAAGAGTTTTTAGATGTTCCAGAAACAGTTTCCTCATTCTTAAGTCTTCAGAATTGCATTTGCTGATCTAGTCTACATTTTTCAACAAATCCAATGTAGATAACAGACTATCTCCTTCCTATAAGCCTTGATGAAAATGGTACAGTCAGACTGTTAGCATGGTGCTTCATGTGTATGTGCTGCCAGTAATGAGATTCTCCTTTTATTTTATTTTTAGGCATACAAAAAACTCATTCCTTACATCAACTGTAATTCCATCATTCCATGTCTGTTGATGCAGACAATAAAATGTTATGTAGTCAGTACTTATTACTGACATTATAGCATTCTCTAATGCAATAAAAGTGCTGGTTGTTCACACTGGTGATACATGTTGCCATGGGCTACGTGTTTTTGCTTTCTCCTTATTGTGCAGATACAATAAGTTCACACAAGCCTGGCTCTTACCTGTAGATTTTTATCAGCAGACACCCTACAGATGTTTAGTGATCACTTTCACACCAGCGACATAAGTTGCCTTCCAGATACATCAATCTGTCACTGTTCAAAATAGTAACCAGGACAGACTTTCTATCACTTTAAGAACAACTGAGTCATTCTGCTGTTAAGTAACTACCAGGTAAATTGGTGATGACCTTTCGGAATTCATGGGGCTTACTAAATAGAAAGAAATGCAATAGATCGCTGTCTCTTAAAGTATGGTCCTAGAACCCTGGGGGTCCACCAAGACCCTCTCAGGATCAAAATTATTTGCCTGCTTATATTGAAAAATCATACAGTTAAAATCCCATCAAAACATTGTGAGAAGTGGTAGGGACAGCAAATGGGCCAATTATAATGTTTAGTAAGTTAAATTAATCTATAAACACAACCCATATAAACAGACTCTTTTGGGGTCCTCCATAATTTTTAGAAGTGAAAAAGGGTCCTGAGAGAGAAGAAATTTTAAGAAACAGTGCAGTAAATGATGCCAGAATACATCATTACCAATTGCAATTTCTTCTGTGGCTGTAGATTCTTTTCATCTATTGAGACAAAGTCATTTGGACAATAATTTACTATTTTACTTTGTGGTAAATCTCAACTCACTAGTGCATTGTCATTTGCAATGACAACTAAAAAGTTATTTCTGGTCATTTGTTTAATTGGTCAAGGGCCATCCAGTCAGTTTCAGTTCTTTGCAACCACATAGATAGTTATCCTGTTGTTATGAGCAGGTGGACATATTTGGAAGTTAGTATGTTGTGGATATTCTTACAAAAATGCTGTTAGGGATCAGAGCTAGTCAGAAAGTGTCCATTAATCAAAAGGTAAACCAATGAGATTGTTCCATACCAGTCTCTCTAGCCTTCCTAGATGCATGGTAACATTTCAGTTTCCCTAAAGAAGGATGAAGCAATTTACCTGTGAACAACCCATACAGTAGACAAGAATTGAGTATAAGGAGATGTTGAACTTTGAGACTCACACTGTGTGTTGCAGATGCTTCCTTATCTTGCTCACTTTTAATTAAAAGGTTCTAAATAAGAGTACAGCATTTAGTGTGCATAGAAATCCTCCTGCTTAGAGATGCTCCCCTTAGCAAAAGTACTCTAACGGTAGAAGCCCCTTTTCCACTGTAATGCACCAATAGTCAGAGTTTGCTTTGCAAATACATAAGGGATTTAAACTGGGAAAAATAAGATATCCAGAAAAGTAAGTATCCAGAAGAAAAACAACACCCCATGTGGAAGCAAGCACTCCACAGGGTTACACTAATGAATGAACATCTCTGGACTTTATTTTCATTTTACTTTTCTCACACAACTTGCGTTCACCAAGTCAGAAAGATTCATGCATGGAAGAGACTTCTTAAGGGAGGAAAGTTGTCTTGGCCACTATAAGCCAAGTGAATGATACCCTATGCAAATAAGCTAATTCTTTATCAGAATTTCTGATTATGCATTTTGGCGTTTTCTACAGTCCATTCAGATTAATGAACTTGGAGACTCATGCTGTGTATGCTCAGCAGTTCCACTGATTTTAGTACCTTTGAGATAAGACAGTTGAACCTAAATAATACAAGTCTGATTTACTTCATCTTTCACTTAGAAGTGAAATAGCTTCAGAAAACTTTTTTGACTGGCACACCAGCCTTCCTTAAAGGTGTTTCAGAACATCATCCCTATAAACACATCTTAAGGAGGGATTATGAAACTCCCATCTCCTCTCTTGAATAAGCATACTTTTATTTTCTCCATCAAGGAAAATAAAAATGCTTAATAACTAGCATTAGCTAGAACTAAATTTTCAGAGAAAAGCATTTTCATGAATAATTCATTCAAATTTCACATCTGCAAGATTAGTCATCCAAATAAAATGCTAATGTCAAAAACATGCACCGTCTATAATATTCTCATCAAGCAATATTTTTGCATATAATGATAAATGGTTGAATTAGCAGCAATGATTTTATTTAAAAAAATTCTTCCACACCATGTGAAAGGATGGTAAAAGGATATATATTGAACTGCTATAGATTTTTGATCAATTGATGTAACAGAAATTCTGAAGCATGATACCATTATTCCTGAAAAGTAACTAAATATCACCACAAGCTTTATTTGAAGTATAAGAATATTTGCTGATAGTTTATTACACATGAATGGCTTTTTTAGGATAGAGATTCCTTCCAGAAGTTAAATTGCATTAGATGACCTTCATTTTTATTTAAGGAAAAATGAAGATCAGAGGTTCAAAATTCCTAATGCTATTTTATTATATTAACCCATCTCTAAACTTGGCTTAAACTTTATTGACAGGGATCATAGTTCCTCTGCAGAATATACACAGCCCCAGTTTAATCCTTGGTCTCTTTGAGTTTAAAAAAAAATAGAAAAAAAAATCTAATAGATTTTTTAATATTAGGGTCTCTAATAGAGATCTTAAAGCAATCTTTGCTAACCATCTTTCCTCATGTCCTTTAAGTATGTTGGCAAATAAAATAGCCTCCTCTAATTCAAATGCTTTCAAGTGTACAGCCTATTTGTGCTTTAAAATATCTAAAGACAGTTCAGAAGTTCTCAAAGGAATAAAACAGAGGACATAGTCAGGCTTTCCATTGTCCCTCTTCTAATGTCCGCAACAAGAAAGCAACTACTTCCTTTATGCAACACTAAATCTGGATTTATCCACGCTAAGAATTGGGTTTCCTATTAGGTAGCACTGATGATGTTACCTAGTTTGGGTAATGAAATGTCTGCAAGAAAACAACCAAGCTCAGAGAGCACCAACAAACCCTCATTTCAACCCTGAGCTACAAATATTCTCCTTTATTGATAATTAGGTTTCGATAGTTAATGCTGGGACTAGAAGGTTTGCAGTTGTAACTGTCTGATTAGTTAAGCTGATTGTCATTGAAGAAATTTAGCAGCTGCCAAACGCCAAATGCAAACCCTGATTATAGTTGGAGCAAGATCCAGCTGTAATGCACCTCTTTCACTTGTAGCATAACAAGCTGGCCGCCTCACATTTTGGGGTAGCAGAACAGTTAACATCTGGACATTTTTGATAGAATGAAACATTCAACCCTCCGGATTACCCATTACTTAATTTAATTTTCAGTCTAACTCTGGATGTGACTTGTTTTGCTTTAACTTAATGTGATGTGGAAACCTAACCACTGTGGCTTGTAAACTATGGTTTATGTTTTTGCTTATGCCACAAGCAAAAACCAAATCCTGCCTAGCCTGATTTATAAACCCCAGCTATTTTTGTTCTGAACTGACTGCTGCGTAGGGTGGGACCTAACCAAAATGTTACCAAGATGTTGAGATGTGCATGACAACATTTGAAGCAATCTCTCTTAGCAGTTGTGTTTCAACATGGCACATAAGGGACAAAATATGCATTATGCTGTTGTACCACATTTGTCACTTGACCACCATACATGGACATTTATGGTGGGATTATTAGTTAGCACTTTCGAGTGCAGTGTTTCTCAATGTCAGCAACTTTAAGATGTGTGGACTCCCAGAATTGCTGTCTCAGTACTGAACTAATAGCTACAATTCTCTCCTCATCACCTGATGTAAGTCCTCATCACCTAATGTAAGGGAGTCAGATGGCTGCTAGCAGAAATTCCAATACTACAAATATAAAGTTCCCCTCATTGCACAAAACCTCATCAATTTTTTATTTCTCAGTCTGACTAGGACTTTA